TAACAAGTCGTTATGTTCCTCATCACCTGCTGTAAACTCTTCTTCGGAGGCATGATTCGGACCGCTTTGTCTCTGATACAAACTAATGCAGCGAATAGTAAGTGAAATCCAAGGGGTCGACTCTTGAAGTCGAAGAACTTAGAACGAGATTAGAGACTTAAGAGACAGAGGTAATTGTCGATTATGAAAAGAGAGAACGCTCTTTAATTCTTACTAATAAAAGTACCAAGTAACAAAGAATGCTAAAGTTGCATATTTATATTTAGGATGAAAGCTTAAATAATCTAAAATCCCAAATAGATAGTTGGCACGATCTGTCATTAAGTTAATTAAGGAAAAATAGAAGAAAACCAATGATTTGCAACACAAGGAAAGTGAGATCGAAGCTTTGCTACATTATAGTGTATGTTGTTGAAAAATAAAATTATAAAAAATAAAAAATGATAAAAGTATATATGTAAAAGTAAAAAAAGATATTTAAAGTATTGCAATAAAAGAAAGATGAAAATTTAATGAGCAATTTTTTTCACTAAAATTTATAGAGCATTTATTTATATGTATATATCTTGATATAGATCATGTATTGTTTTTTTTTTTGCACACTAGAAAGTTATGGGGAAACAAATTTTCTAAGAAAATAAAACAACATAATGACATAAATTTTGTATTTATGAAGTTCCAACTATTTACTTTTACAAAAGTTTCTAATAAAAACTAAAATATTGAAAAATAGTTGAATTTCACAAATTCAGACTAAATTGTGCGCCAACAATTGTTAGTTCTGACAAATTTTCCATTTGAGAATAGTTCATGAAAAAGTAATACGTTACATGATGATTATGCAGTTAGCTACCAAATTTTTTTTTTAGGTTAATACATGGTTACCAAATATTAAAAACACTGTTTTAGTTTTAGATTAGAAATGATGATTTACGTTTTGGATATATGCCGCATATGGCATATACAATATAATTAAGTGAAATTCAAATTTCATGTGGACATTATGTACCACATATAAAATATTTTCCTAATATGAAAAATAGAAGTGTATATTCATGAAAATTACATAACTTTCTCTAATATATGTATAAAAAAAAGTATGGAACTATATGAAATTACGACTGACTAAAGCACATTTATGTTTGGTGGATAATATTAATAAACCATATATGGGATTCGATAATTTCTTTATGGTATAGTAAGAGCATCATTATCGGGGTATCTTCATTAGATTTTTTAAACCTTTTTGATTTTAAAAAAATGATTTATAGCCCAAAATTAGAAAAATCATTTCTTATTTGGGGCCTGAAGAATCGGTTCTTCCTAGACAGCTATCACAAGCTGATTAGTCTAAAAACATCAGCGATTTCTTTCTTCCTGGGTCGACTTTTCATCGACCATGTTGTGTTCTGCAATTTTTTTTGCCCGAAGAAATTTTCTCTCGTCAAAAAGAATCTTTGATATCTCCGACCAGAAATCAGTCGCCATGGTCTTCACCTCCGGTCCGATATGGCGAAGCATCGTTAGTTCTTTCTTGGTGAAATCGACGCGTGGTCCATCGATTTCACCGATAAGATAAGTCTCTGTTATTTCTTTTTTTTTTTGGAGTTTGGTTCGATTTCTTCCTTTGATTTGCTTAATCGGAGCATCTGAATTAGTTTAGGTATGGAGGATTTAGGTTCTCATCGTTTTCAATTTGGATTTATGTTCTATATCTATCTTGAACTTGTTTATGGATGGAGGATTTGTTGATGTTTTCTGAATGATTTAGTGGTTGATAATATGAATTGATCTTCGTAATAGACAATTGTAAAAAGTTTGATATATGGTTTCATACTTGAAATTGATCTTCGTAGAAGTGATCTTAATGTTTCTAATTCCACTCTCGTGGTTCTATTCCACTCACTTGGTTTTATTCCACATACAAATTATTGACTGAGAGCTTTGTTTTGCAGAGGGGGGTTTGTAATTTAATTCCTGCAACTTTCAATGATCGTAAAGGGGTATGTGATCAACTTCTCAAACCCTGAATCATTGAAATCTGCATAGCACCATTGTGTCCTCCTGTGTAGTGTATATATCAAACTCACTTTCTTCTTCTTTTTTTTTGTGAGGCAGCTCCAAGATTTCATATCATACTTGAAGCAGAGAGATAGCAGTTTTAAACCACTTTGTATATTAACTCACTTAGTGTAGTCTCACACTCTTTTCTTTCTCCCTTTTGAAGGATAGCCAATTGTATATTTGTGTGAACTATATAGCTGTTGCAGTTTTGTTCTCTCTTCGTGTCTTCCTTGGCTAAAATGAATAGTTTGCCCTTGTTGTATAGACAAAATATCTTTATTTAGAAAAGAAATGCTAAGAAACCTCTATAGAAGTTTTACCAATGCACTATTAAAAACAATGAGGTTTTTAAGATAGATTCTTAATCCATAATTAATAATAAAAAAATATTAAGAAACTCATTTGGGATTTTAGGGATAGTGATGGTCTAAGTGAGCTTTCTACAAAGAGCAAACCAAAAGCCTCTTGGTGCATTTGACCAAGTGCTGAAGACGCTTGTACATATTGTAGGGAGTCTATTTGTGGAGAATTATTTACTCAATCGCATAATAGTTACAAATTCAAAAATGTATCTGGTGTGGAAAACAAGAGACAACCACTCACTTTTTATTTCACTGCCAATTTGCAAGACAATTTTGGCACGTAGTGTTCCGCTCAAACAAGAGAGAATTTCATCATTGATTCCCAAATCAGAACAGGTTTATGCAACGCAAGAACACTGCTCTGTCTCCCATTAGGAGGAGTGGAAACATTATATTACCCTTCGTTGCATAAAATTACTTACTTAAACGTTGAAACTCTGAAAGATACGAAACCAGTTAATATTCTTACAAATTTTTTTTTTTTTTACCAAACTCCAAAGTACAATTATTTTTTAGAGGGTAATTATATAAAAATTCGATATGAAAAAAAAAACTATAAAAGACCATATATTACCAGTAATAAATATCACAGAAATGACATATTGTCACTTTGTCAGTCTATAAGAGATACATATTTATAGCTAACACAACCGTAACAAAACCACTCCCATTCAACTCGGTCTTATTAGTATTTTAATATAAGCTGATATATGCATACATATATAGATATACATATTATTTTGGGAGATTTAGTTTAATATTCTGAAATTTTTTTATATTTTGGAAACTAACCTCTGTTTTAAAAAATTTGAAAACTAACCTTTTGAATTTAAAATTACCAAAAATATCCCTAATATATTAAACACATAAAATCTATTATTTCAATTTAATCATTTGAACTTCCTCATATCAACGTAATCGATGTTACTTTGTATTTATACTTTGGCTGCGTTCTAAAAATGCATGGATTAGAACTTAGAAATAACATATCTAGCGTATCTTTAATGTATCTTCATGTATACGATTATATTAATTTTTTTGTTAGTCGAATAATACATAGTGTAAATTCTTCTATAGATTATATTAAAAGGAAATGAGCAGTTGTATTTTACCACCACTTTCCTCTAATATAATCGATGTTATTGTTCTGGTAAGTTTACTAATATGATTTTGGAACAAGCATGTTTTATCTATAATAGAGATATACACTAACATCAATATAAAAGATCCTCATTTGAAGCTGGGGGAGTTTAAGCTCAACAAGTTCATGAAATCAACTGAACATGCTTGTACCTAAAATCATGTTAGTGAATTTAATCAGTCAAAAATCTAACTGTTTGGTCTATTAAATCCGAAAAAATCTTGTGGATTGATTTCTTATTATTTTGCTTAGTTCAATGATAGAAATACGAAATGAAACTCTTTTGATGAGTTTATTTAATAAGGTTATGGACTTCTAATTTCTACCATATTGGAACTTTTTTTTAAATAGACCAAATGATAGAATAATTTTACAGAATTTGAATAGGTATTTTTGTTTCTATGTAAACTGATTTTGGGATGAGAAAATTGTTTGGTGCAATGTTGATTGAAAAATCATTGAGGCAAAGTTAAATTATTACATAGATTATAAGAAGTTGATGTTGATCTCATATATTTTATTAAAAAATTAAGAATCCAAATATTTTGTCATCTTGTAAATTCTAAAATTGATATTGGTATTATTGTCTTTTTACTTAATGTAACTCTTTTGATGAGTTTATCCTATAAGATTATAGACTTCTAATTTCTACCATATTAGAATTTTTTTTTTAAGTAGATCAAATGATAGAATAATTTTACAGAATTTGAATAGGCATTTTTTTTAAGTAAACTGATTTTGGGATCAGAAAATTGTTTGGTGCAATGTTGATTAAATAATCATTGAGGCAAAGTTAAATTATTACATAGATTATAAGAAGTTGATGTTGATCTCATATATTTTATTAAAAAAATTAAGAATTCAAATATTTTGTCATCTTGTAAATGCGAAAAATTGATATTGGTATTATTGTCTTCTTACTTAATAAAGGTTATATTTTAAAAAAATTAAAACAAAGGTTAGTTTTCAAATTATATAACAATTTCAGAATATTAAATCAAATTTCCTCTATTTGTTTTCCTTTCCAATAAGATTATTTCTATTTTGTAATTCAATTTATAAACCACACAATAACAAAAAAGTTATCGCTACCTAGCATAGAAAATTATCTTTCCCTTTTTCGACATTCTGGCCATGGTACATGCCCAAAAACCAATGCCCTCGACCTAAAAACTCTTCATAATCCAGAAGAGAAGAATTATATATATAAAAAAAAGTTTATAAATCTCAAAATCCTTAGATTCAACCTTCTCTATTCTCTAATTTGCATCTACAGATCAGAAAGGTGTGACCTTCCATGCCCAAAAATCCAATCTTTAGGGTAAAAAAAAAACATTTGCTTTTGCTTCGATACTTATGTCACATACATGATGTGTTTACCACTTTATAATTCTTATATTCTTTTTTTTTTTTTTTTTTGCATTATCGTTTGGTTCCTCTTCCGTGACCTAGCCTTTGATTCCGCCATGCCTGTTTCCATGTGTCTCCTAACAAGTTTATTGTGTTACTTGACCTTAGAGTAAATATTAGATCTTTATGCGAAAGATTGGTTCTTTTGTGCATTTTAACATTTTTTGGGCACCTGGGTTTGATTGGTCATGTTATTGAATCTTCAAATTGGTATAATTTCTCTTCTGTTTCTTTGATCTATGGACCCACCTTTATATCTAACTCTATAAATCCAATATTGGGTTTTATCAATTACTTCCTCGTAATGCAGGGTTTAGATCAATTTTTGATTTTTTTCTTGTAAGAATTTTGTGGGTATTAGACAATTGTCCATCCCCAATCAGGAGTTACTTCCTAAGATCTTATCTTCTAGCTGAATAGTAGATTAACCATTTTTCCATTCGGAAGAATCAATGTTTATGTAATAATTGCTTTCGTAGGTCTGAAAACAAAAATATTACCTTCTAAGAAATATCTAATGGTTAATGTCGATATTTTGATTCATATTTGTTTAGGAACAACAATTTTTGATATGGGTTCTTTGTTGTTTACATTGATTTGATTCATATTACATTGATTTTTGCGTTTTTCCCTCAGAATGTGTGATTTTTTCCAAATCTTAGATATATTTGTATTCACTTCCATTCTGAAGAATCAATGTTTATGTAAGAATTGCTTTTGTAGGTTTGAAATTTTTTTACCTTGTACGAAATTTCTAATGGTTAATGTTGAATTTTCGATTCATATCGATTAGAAAAGCAATTGATATGTGTTCTTGTTGGTTATTTTCTTACATTGATTTTTGTTTTTTTTTATTCCTCTTCTTATGCAGAATGTGTGATTTTATCAAATCCTGGGTTAAAAGAAGTGAATCATCTTAAGTGTTAGTTATGGAAGTTATATCTTGTTCAAGTTCACAACGCGTTGAACAAGTCGAAACTCCTGGTGGTATTGCAATGGATGAGTTGCTACTCGACGTGGACGTTGAGGAATCAACAGGTAGTGAGCTGTTGTTGAAGCCTGAGCCAGATGATTCAAACGCAGAGAAGCATCGTACCGATTTAGTTATGGATATGGAAGAAACAGAACCTCTTGGTAACAATGGTGAAGGAGAGTCATCTCCTTCTGAGCCTAAATGGCTGCAACAAGATGAACCTATAGCCTTGTGGGTGAAGGTAATATAACTCTACTCTCTCTCAGAGTTTGGAATGTGAGATTAATGTTTTGCGTCCTGTGTTGTAGTGGAGAGGGAAATGGCAGGCTGGAATCAGATGCGCAAGAGCGGACTGGCCATTAACAACTTTGAGAGGGAAACCAACTCATGATAGGAAAAAGTATTTTGTGATATTTTTTCCGCATACAAAGAACTACTCGTGGGCGGATATGCAGCTCGTTAGATCCATCAATGAGTTCCCTGATCCTATTGCATATAAGTCACACAAGATTGGACTCAAAATGGTTAAAGATTTAACCGTTGCTCGACGCAACATTATGCGGAAGCTTACAGTTAAGATGTTCAATATAATTGACCAGTTTCACTCTGAGGTATAAGCTTGGAACTAAGTGTTTATTGGACATCGAAAGCGTTGGATTGCATTTTAGTTTCATCTCTTTCGATGTTGCAGGTTGTAGTTGAAACAGCTAAGGATATAATAATGTGGAAAGAGTTTGCAATGGAGGCTTCTCGAAGCACAAGTTATCAAGATCTTGGAAGAATGCTTGTGAAGCTTCAGAGTGTAAGCTCTCTCGTTGCTGTTAAGTTTAGAGGAATTTTTTTTTTTTTTGACTCTCCTGTAATCATGTCTCGGCTTTGTGTCATGTTGTTTCAGATGATTTTGCAACGATACATGGATCCAAACTGGCTCGAAAACTCATTTCCTTCATGGGTACAGAAGTGTAATGATGCAGTGAATGCTGAGAGTATTGAAACGCTGAATGAGGTAATGACTTCACCTGAGGCCGATTATGTAAATTGTTCGGACATTTTTTGTTCTTAACGAAGTCCACTTTATCTGGTTGTGTATAGGAGTTTGATAATTGCATCCAATGGAACGAAGTGAAATCAGTTTCTGATCCTCAGATGCAACTAATGGTGTTGTCAGAATGGAAAACGTGGAAGCATGACATCACAAAATGGTTCTCGATATCTCGGCGTAGTGTCGGAGAAGTAGCACAGGAGAGTAGTAAAAGCGTCTTTAACTCAGATGTGCAGACGAGCCGTAAAAGACCAAAGCTTGAGATTCGACGTGCAGAGACAACAAATGCATCGCAGATGGAAACTGATGTTTCGCCACACGGATTGACTGCTATTGACTCGGAGTTTTTTAGTAGCCGAGACAACACAAATACTCCTGTGGTGATGAAAAACGAGAATGCGATGATGAATACACCAGAGAATGGTTTGGACCTATGGGACGGCATTGTTGTTGAAGCGGGCGGTTCACAGCTCGTGAAAACAAAAGAGGCGAGTGAACTGTCTCACCCACAAGTTCCAAACATAAACGAATCAGCTGTGAAGAAACCGTTTGGTTTGGGAAATAAGAGTCAGCAATGCATAGCTTTCATCGAATCGAAAGGAAGACAATGTGTGAGGTGGGCAAATGAAGGTGATATCTATTGTTGTGTGCATTTAGCTTCTCGTTTCACCACCAAATCTGCAAAGAAGGAGGCATCTCCCGCTGCTGAAACACCAATGTGCGGAGGAGTTACTGTTCTTGGTACCAAATGCAAGCATAGATCTCTACCTGGATTGTTGTATTGCAAGAAACACCGTCCTCACACTGGGATGGAGAAAGCTGTTGATTCCTCATCTCATCTGGTTAAAAGAAAGGTAGCAGAAATTATGTCAACCTTAGAAACAACTCAATGTCAAGATTTAGTTCCTCTTGGAGAAACAGAGGGAAGTGTGCCCAATGGAACCACGAGCTTCACTGAGATGCTTGAACATTGTAGCAATGAGGATAACTTGTGTGTTGGTTCTTGCTCAGAAAACATCTATGTTCCTTGCAATGAGTTCTCGACAAAGCACACGTTATACTGCGAACAGCACCTTCCTAACTGGCTCAAGCGTGCGAGGAACGGAAAGAGTCGGATAATATCCAAAGAAGTGTTTGTAGATCTTCTGAGGGGTTGTTCATCGCGTGAGGAAAAATTGGCTCTGCATCAAGCCTGTGATATTTTCTACAAGCTTTTCAAAAGTCTCTTATCTTTAAGAAACTCGGTCCCAATGGACCAACAGCTTGAGTGGGCGATATCAGAAGCTTCAAGAGAAGCTGACGCTGGAGTTGGGGGTTTCTTGATGAAGTTAGTTTCCCATGAAAAGGAGAGATTAGCTAGGATATGGGGTTTCAGTGCTGGTGCTTATGAAGAAGATGCATCAATGTCAGAATCTCCTAATCGACTGCTTGCCTTCACCAATGCTTGTGATGATAAAGGAGAAGACGAAGAGAAATGGTCGTTTGGTGGATTTGCTTGTGCTATTTGTTTAGATTCTTTTGTGAAGAGAAAGCTTTTGGAAACTCATGTGGAGGAGAGACACCATGTGCAGTTTGCGGAAAAGTGCATGCTTCTTCAGTGTATTCCTTGTGGCAGCCATTTTGGAGATAAAGAACAGTTGCTGGTACATGTTCAAGCTGTGCATCCTTTGGAGTGCAAGACGTTAACAGTTGCTCCTGAGTGCAAATTGACTAATAATGAGTCTTCTCAAAATCCTGAAGCAGGCAATTCACAAATTGTTGTGAGCCAAAACAAAGAGAGTATAAGCGGCGTACATAAATATGTTTGCAAGTTCTGTGGGCTGAAATTCAATCTATTACCTGACCTTGGCCGTCACCATCAGGCAGAACACATGGGACCGAATCTTGTTGGCTCTCGAGGTCCTAAAAAAGGGTTAAGGTTTAATACCTACAGGATGAAGTCTGGTAGGCTAAGCCGTCCAAATAAGTTCAAGAAAACTCTTGGAGCAGTCTCGTATAGGATTAGAAACAGGGCTAGTGTAAATATGAAGAGAAGGATGCAAGGTTCCAAATCACTCGGCACGGAAGAAAAAACTGGATTATCGCCGCCTCCGAGTGATAGCTTTGATAGATCAGCAGATGCTCATTGCTCTGTAGTTTCGAAAATATTGTTCTCGAAGATTCAGAAAGTGAAACATCGTCCTAACAACCAAGATATCCTGTCTGCTGCTCGTTTAGCTTGCTGTAGGCTGAGCCTTGAGACCTCGTTGGAGGCTAAATTCGGGGTTTTGCCTGAGAGGATATATCTCAAGGCAGCAAAACTCTGTGGTGAGCAGGGTGTGCAAGTGCTATGGCATCAGGAAGGATACATATGCTCTAACGGATGTAAGCCTTTTAAAGACCCAAATCTTCTAAGTCCCTTGATCCCTCGACAAGAAAATGATCGATTTCGGATATCTATGGACGTCGGAGAACCTTCTAATGCCGCTCTGGAAGTGGATGAGTGTCATTGTATCATGGAGGCTCATCATTTCAGTAAGAGACCGTTTGGAAAGACCGCTGTTTTGTGCAAAGACATAAGCTTTGGTAAGGAACCAGTTCCAATATGTTGTGTCGTGGATGGTGATCATTTGGATTCCGCTGAGAGGCCATGGGAAAGTTTTACTTATGTTACAAAATCAATTCATAACCCGTCAATGGATCTTGCAAAGGAGGTATCTTACTTATTCGAGCTCCTCGTATCCTTGAAACAGTATTGTGACTTCGTGTTGTAACCTTGTTTGTCCCCTGTTTATGATGCAGGACCTGCAACTCAGGTGTGGCTGTCGTGGCTCAGTATGCTCGCCTGTAGCTTGTGATCACGTGTACCTTTTCAGTAACGATTTTGAGGAAGCTAGAGACATATACGGGAAATCCATGAGGTGTAGATTCCCATATGATGACAAAGAACGGATCATCTTGGAGGTAAATTTGGTTGCTTCTCTATTGAAAGTGATGATTTTTGTGGTAATTTAGATATTTTCTGGTTAAAATACGAAAATGTTGCAGGAGGGTTATCCTGTTTATGAATGCAATGGACTCTGCGGATGCTCTAGAACATGTCAGAATCGGGTTTTGCAGAATGGAATTCGCACGAAACTTGAAGTGTTTAGAACAGAGAGCAAGGTGTGATTCTTTTTGAGCCATCATTATTTTTATCTATCTATCCTGCTTCAATTCATATATACATTGCTGATTGATCGGCAGGGATGGGGATTACGAGCTTGTGAGCATATACTACGCGGCACATTTGTCTGTGAATACATTGGAGAGGTTCTTGATCAGCAAGAAGCAAACAAGAGACGAAACCAGTACATAAGCTTTCGTCTTTTCACCTTTTTTTTGGTCTTCTAGCGTTGAAAGATTTGGTGCAGAATTTGAAATCTTGCTATTGATTTTCATAGGTATGGAAAAGAAGGGTGCAGCTACATACATGACATTGATGCTAATATCAATGACATTGGTAGATTAATCGAAGAAGAGCCCGATTATGTTATTGATGCTACTAATCATGGGAATGTCTCTCGGTTCATCAATCACAGGTGAGTTCAAAAAACATAACTCGGTCTTATATCTTCCAAAACATTAGACTGATGATTTCAAAATTTTTCTTATCTCTAGCTGCTCGGCGAATCTTGTTACTCACCAAGTTATTGTGGAAAGCATGGAGTCTCCTCTTGCTCATATCGGTTTTTACGCTAGTAAAGATGTAAGGCTCTTCTTCTCTCTTTGCTTGAAAGAGTTTTCTAAGTGTTGGATTGAATTGATCTTTTTTTTGTTTGTGTGTGTAAAACAGATAGCTGCAGGAGAGGAGATCACGAGAGACTATGGACGCAGACAGGTAACATCTGGACAAGAAAATGAGCATCCATGCCATTGTGGAGCTACAAATTGCAGAGGTAGCTTGTGTTAGAATTTGGTTCTAGGTACATTCTTTGCACATTTGTTTCAATAATTTGCTTCAAGCTTTTTCACTTTCTTGTTTTCCATTGAATCTTAGACAGCTTTGAACAATTTGGTTCTGCAGTTTTTTTTTTAGCAGTATTCATAATCATTGATTGTATTATAATGTAACAAGAGCGCATAAAAAAGATATCAAATCTTTATTTCTCCTTTCTTAATTGTGAAGAACCAAAAGGGAAGTCCATAGCCAAAGATCACAATTGCAACCATCCCTGAAATCAGTACGCGCCAAATCAAGTTTTGAAATTTGAAAACAGTTTTGGTAAAAGAGCTGATTTTGGAGAAACTCAGAATTGAATGGTTCTTCGTCTTACCAAAGTCAACGTACTTTTCTTTTGGTTTGGAAGAAGTAGCTCGTAGTTGCAGAACCATGGAAGCTATGACCAAAGCACTTCCGATCTTTTCTCTAACTACTCTTTGACTGAGATCCAAAGACAAGACTCCGACTTTCTCTGTTATGACATCCTCTGCAACAACTTTAGCCAACAAAAACAGACCCAAGCTAAGAGCTGTTCCAATCATCTGTCTGATTCTTCTCGATTTAGATGATATTCTTTTGCAGTTGATCAGATTCACTACGCAAGCGAGTGTGTACAGAGGAAACCAAAAGTACCAATCTGCAGAAGCACACAAACTGTGAAATTTACATCATCTGTAGTAGAGAAAAAGAACCAATTTTTTCTTTTGAATACCAGGATCATTAAGCTGGACAGATGCAGAATAAGCAAACAAAAACGCCATTAAAAGAGAGCAAACCCTAAAAAGATTTATGGGTTTTTCCATATCTTCTTTTCCTTCAAATTTGGGATCTTCAAACTCTACTGTACTAGTTACGGAGAACAAAACCAGATCGCTTGTGGAAATCGATCGGCAGATGAATGGTCTGCTAAACCGTATCAATAACCGACCATATTCAAAACCAAACCCGGTTATTTGGTATTTCCGGCTCTCTTTGATAACCGCCGGTAAAGCTCTAAGGCTTTAATGTTTAAACTTCCAAATGCCCGATTAGTTTATTTTTTTGTTCATTTTCAGTAAGGTTTTGTTATTGCAATTTGTTTTTGTAAAGTACTTAATATGGTTAAGTTGATGTGTTTTTATTATTATGTTTTTTTTTTTAAAAATTGATGTATACATTGAATCATGAATACGATTTTAAATCAAGAAATAAAGGTCCACACACTTTATAATGGTTCATTTTCAACGTGAGAATTATTATAAGGCATAGAGTCACAACTCTATTTAATATAGCAACGATTTTTATCAATTTGACCAATTTACTTATGTGAATTTATGTAGATGCGTATATGATTTATGAGGCCACACTTCACATCACATGGAGATAAGACAGCAAAAAGATACGGTCTATCCTCTAAAATTAATTATTCCAACGATTGTATATATAGCTTCACTGTTCTCCAATCATTCTATTCTGTAACCCCAATACATTTATTGTATAGTTATTACTTTTATTGATGCACACATATAGCGTATTTATTTTGTAACGTATTTATGTCGACCAGCACGTTTCATAATATTTGTATTAACAACTCTACAGCATCGTCAAACTATATACTCCCTCTGTTCAGAATTATTTTATATTTTAGAAGGTTTTTTTATTCAGAATTATTTGATGTTCTCATTTTTCAATGCAAAATTTAATGAATTTTTATAGTTTTTGACATTTTATATTCTGCAGATTGTCTTCTTATTGGTTGAATGATATTTAAATGAATTATAAATAATATTTTTAGTATAGGAAAAATAAAAATTAAATGAATCCTTAAACTGTATGCAAAAACCTTAAACATCAAATAATTCTGAACAGAGGGATCGGAGTATTTAATCCGGATACAACGTAATTATGGTTTTAAACTTTTTAATAGTTCATGACCAAAAAAAATCTTTTAATGGTTCATTACCAAACAAACAATATGAACAGAATCGATTAATGCAAAATATATAGCTGTTTATGAAATGAACATTATTTAGTAAGATTAGCTAAATTTTCAATGATTTAACATTTTCAAAATAATGATGTAACAATTTAAATAATTGACTGGAATAAACTCTACTAATTCGATCCATTTCTTGGAAATAAAAAGACACCCTAATGTATTTGCTAAAAATCTCTGATCATAGCAGCCCTTCCTCATTAACAATAAAATTACCAAAATAGACTAAATTCACGACCTAGCCATTTGTTCATATGTAATTATGTGTATCAGTGTATGTGGTGGAATATTTAAACAGATTTTAGGTATTGGTTTGAGTGAGGGGACCTATTTGGTTATAAAAGCATGATTGTGTGACGGATAGTCATCGGATTCGGCCGGCGATCGCTAAATTCCACGATGCCATGGCCCAAGTCCAATAAAATTTTCAAATAGGCCCTATCTGAAAAAATCATAGGGCCCACGCAAGTTGGTATCTTCTTCTTCTACTCGATTCATTCAGTTCAAGCATATTACAATTCTAGCACACCATAAAAAAGTTTTTTAAACCCACAAAATATCTTTATATACATACATATTTCCATATATGAATTGTCAATGGTAGATAAAGAAAACATAAGTACGTACGTAGTTGAATTATTAGTTATAAGAACACTATAGAAATGTGTTTCATCATAACTAGGGTTGATGAAATATAATACGCAATAAATTTCTTCAATAATTGTTTCTTAAATAGAATAATTTTTTGTTAATAAGTTCACTTTAGAAATCAAACAGTCTTTTCACTTCATATATCATTTAAAATTTTGAAATTTTAAAATATTATTTCATTTTCATAACTAGAATTGATAAAATTGGATACAAAATAAATTTCTTCAATAATTGTATTTTAAATAGATCATTTTTGGTTAAGAAGATCATATAGAAATCAAATAGTCTTTTCACTTTATACATCGTTTAAAATTTTAAAATTTCGAATTTTATTTTATGTTAAGTCAATAATTAACTTTTTGAGATTTTATGTACGTATGCATGACATAAAAATCCATCATGCGTACTAAAACCATGCAATATAGATCAATACACATGTATGTATTTGACAACATATGTATACGCTTACATATGTGGATTATTAAAAAGGCAGGCCCTCCAATATTAACATCAAGAATCTAACACTCATGCATATGGATTTTCTTGTCACGTATATTTATTATTTTTTTCATTCAGCAAAAGAAAAAATAAATTGATATTTTGAACTTTTGTATACCAGCCAAACAATAATAATGAATTAAATCAAATATATAAAATTTTCCAATTTAAATTCTTTTTATAGGAGTATGCATGGTAGCTAAAGGACAGAGGTCAGACAAGAAGTGTTAAAAAATGGACCACTACGATTGATATAAATGTACTTAAGTAAATTAATATCAGATGCATTTAATGAGTTTAATTATTAGGTAATTTTTACGCGTTCACAAATTCTGTTAGTGTCATTGTAATTATTCGTGCAAAATCATCGCTAGTCTTAAGACGCTAGAGTCGCTAGTTTATTAGGTAATTGTTTCCTTAAACTGGTAGACATGTAAAAGTGCTTGGAAATAACATACTGTATATCTTTATATATATATATATATATATATTCTTATAAGCTATTTATGTCCATATATGAAACTTCACTTTCGCTAGTAGAATATTAAAACCTCTAAATGAAAAGAGGGAATAAATTTCTTTTTGATACTGACCCTCTTCAATTCTCTTACATCAAAAAAGGAAAAGCTGAAACACTTTGACGAATTTTTTACCTATCTATTATTTGATTAATCATCATCAGCACTATAGAATAGGTTCAAACTTCAATTGTCATCAACCCTAGTTCATAAGTGTACATATATAATCTATTATCCATAAACCATAATATGAATAGCATGAAGTTATCTATTGTTCCGAGTTATTGGTTGCACTAAAGACATCTAATAAAAAGTGTAATGTCAAATAATCGTACACATTATATCTTGCCAAGTTTTAAGGTCATTCTCGGGAAGTAGTATATCCATATACTTAGAATAGAAATTCATGCAAATCTATAAGGACTTAGGTGAAACTTAGGCGTTATTGTCTAATTTTTTATTTATTGAAGTGACTTATAAGAAAACGCTTTATAAACAAATTAAGTGATGAGTCCCTTTTATAAACAGACTAATGAGTAGCATCATGGCAGTGATCTATTGAGCTGAATGCCCTTTTGTGGAATTAAAATGTCACCGTCTCGATTGAGATGTGCCCAATATGACATGTAACCAAACCTTTGGAGTTTTTTTAAAAATTCTGCTGTTAGAGAAAAATAAATGCTCTGAAAGTATTGTAAACAAACAAGGATGTTTTCTAAAAAAACGGGGATCAGATGCGTTCAAACTGTTTTAATATAAGTTATTAGAAAGAAAAAAATACAATTGTTAAGTCGATCTATAGTGTCCTAAACATACTTTGTTTTGTTGCCATTACTAAATTAAGTAGCACATAGTTGTAGTAAGTGAGGGTTAGTTGAGGTGATTACTTTGATTATACAAGCAAAAGTGATGTCACTTAATTGACATGGCGCTCTCCTACTACTTTGTCGTTTGTTAGTAAAAGACTAAACTCAAATGGAAGAATACTTAAGTTAAGTACTACACATAGTTGGAGGACAAAAAATAAAAAAAAGTACTACACATAGTTTTTATTTCAAAATATGTAAAAAGAAAAAATGGTAGGGGTGTCTTTTTTTTGGACAGCAAATGGTAGGGTTGTCAATCCGAATAAACTCTACAGATAATTGGTAAGGATATTAATATGAACAAATTTTTATTTTAGAAATATGTATTAATCATAATCAAAAACAAAAAAAAATACAGAAATTTGGTAGGGGTGGTCGTAAGAATAAATTTTACTTTAAAAGTATGTAAATAATTATAATCTAAACACAAATTATAGAAAATTAGTAAGAACATCACTTTTGAAAAAATAAACCATGCATAATAAATTACATTCTAGTACAAAATTATAACTCTGGTAGCTCGAGGTATCAATTTATATATGTATTTCTATTCTTCTTACGAGAGGAAAACAGAGAAAAAAATATAAAACTTTAAGAGTATGTAAAGAGGCTAAAAACATATTTCGATTAAAAAAAAAATCCCGCTATAATAAATTGATTAATAAATGGAGAAACGACGAAGGCAGTCTTAAAAATCTCCAAAGTCTCTAACGGAGAAAGAAGGGTTCTTATTATCGGGCATATTGCCAGCGTGGCGTAGACCAAGCGTAAGCGACACGTCACCAGGCTGTTTGGTCCCGAATCTTATGACGTTCACATGACCATCGTCGACGTGAAAGTCACTGACGTCTTGCTGACACGTGGCGACGGTGAAAGCGTCTGAAACGCCGTGAGAAGTGGCGGCGACGGAGGAGGAAGAAGGGAGGAATGAAGGGTCGTTTTCGTGAGGTGTCGATGTCATCGTCGCTGTTGTTGGAGTTTGTGCAGTTATTGTCTGAACGAGAGTGAAGTTGCTTTCATTGTTGGGTTTCGTGTCATTGTTGTTATTGTTGTTTGTTTGTTGATGTCTTCTTTGTTGTTGATAATCTTCTTTTTCATTTTCTTCTAATTCTTGTTCCTCTCTTTCTTTTGCCTCTTGTTGATACATCTCTTCAACCATTGGTTTCCATAGACGAACCCTAGCATTTATAAACCAATTCGACACCTGAAAAAGAAAGAAATCAATTTTTCAACCCAAAAATATTACTCTCACTGCGAGAGTCTCACCCAAGTTTCTAATAGAATACTTAAATACTTAGTTTTAATGGATATGTGATTGTGAAACAACCAAAACTTCAATTCCGTTTCAAAAAAGAAAATGTAGTTCTATAAACTTTTATTTTTGAAATATTTCGTTTTATAGTGTCTAATGTGATTTTCCAACCTAAAATATCAAATAAGTTTTGAATTTAAGTTATCAAAATCTCATTAGTGGTATATTGAATATAATCTTACTTTTATCCCCAAAAAAAATATATGAGCTTAATTGTTTATTTTAGATATATTTTAATTTGTCTGACTTTTTTCAACATACCACTTTTTATGAAACGTAATATAGTATAAGTCGAGTGTATTAAAAATTGTGGTCAAGATAATTTACGTACACAAGAAGGAGGCCTGGTCGTTATAATTGAAATTAAAGCTTCAAACTTTCATGCACATGAGAAATATGGTCCTAGTTTGAGTATTTATGTCTCTCTCTCTCCTATATTTTGTATTGCTTGTGTGTATATATATGTATATATAATTAATGTATTTAATGAAGAAAAACGAGCCCCAAGAAAAATGATTTTCAAAATCCATGCAAGAGAATGGAAATGAAGCCACTCATGTCAGGTTTTGCATGATGAAATGATTGATATAGATAGTAAACTATAAATTTAATTACGTATATCTAAATATTCAGTAATTAAAAGCGATCTTGTATGATCAGTATTAAAAATATATATTATATATTATAAAGGCTGACCTGATTCCTGGATAAACCAGTCTGTCGAGCCAAGAGGTGCTTATCAGCATCGCTTGGGTACCTGAGAAAGAGACCAGAAAATGACTTCACAATCTTTAGAACCCTAAACCCAATAATTATTAATATTTTTTATGAATACAAATTTGTATATAGAGAAAGAGAGGAACAACATAATCAAGTAGATGCAAGAAAAGGTACAGACTTTCTTCTTACAAGGGCGTGAGAATCTAAGAGACAAAAGAAAAAGCTGATTGCAGAATAGAAGAAGCATTTGATTTTATTTTTGTTTCTTAGCTTCTTTTTTTCTTTTCATGATAAAGCTAATATTTAACAGAAGAGGTACAAGAAAAACTGTACAACTCTTCTCTTCTTTACTTCACTAACAATATAATAGTAAAATTCGGCAGACATTAAATAAAGAAAGTACTGATGAATAATTAGAAAGGAAATTACTTTTATCAGCTTTTAGTTTTTTTCCTCTTTTTTTCACTCTCTTTCTTAAGAGACAATATACAAACCACTGCACCGCTGACAAATCTGAGACCTATTTTTTGTTATTATGTTAATGGCATAGTTACTTCTTTTAATAATAGTATAGGGGAAAAAATTAAAGCCAATAAGAGGAAACTGTAAAAAAAGGGTTAGACAGAGACAGAGAAACCCTTAGGATGCTATTATGATCCCAAAGCATAAAAGTTTGTGATATCACTCTGCAAACTTCTTTTATTACACCATTCTTTATTTAATCCCTTTGCCATGCAAAATATCATACACACAGTTTTCTCAAAAATCTCAAGGTCAATGCTTTGTTTTTCTTGTTAATTTGTAATCTTGCCTAGTAATTTCTATTTGTGGCATCATGAACTAAATGTAGAAAGGATTGATATTTGAATTTAATTGGTGAATAATAACAGAAATTTGAAGAAATTTTTATAAAATAGACTCAAGAAACTTAGTTTTTTTTTTCCCATCTTTAGATTTATATAAAAAAAAATCAGCTACTTTTCAATTTTTCTGATTGAAATATTCTTCCCGCAAAACAAAAATAAGTTCGAAGAACAATTTGTCAGTTTTAAAACTTAAATTTAGTATGGTATATCAATGCATAGTGATAGTATAATATCTATTTCTAATACATGGTCAACATTCAAGAAGATTATTTATATTTAATTATACCGAAATATAATTAAGAGTAGACTTATAATATATATTGAATAAAGGATGAGAAATTGGACTTACGGATTAAGAAAGTGTTCGAAAAGCCAAGCTCTAAGGATATTAACGGAGCGTTCAGGTAAACCACGTTGCGGTCTCCAAGCCTCTTGCTCCATCATACCCATATGATGAAACGCACGTTGCTGACGCAAACTCTGCTCTAGCAAACGCAATCGTGGCGTTTCACCTTTAGTTAACCCGGTGGATGCACCGCCGGCCGCATCTTTATCCCCTAGAAGCTCACAGCTGCGTTTAAGCTGAATCGCTACCGCATCTTTCAAACATCGGAAATGTCTAGACATTGCCTTTTGGGCCAATGTCGTGTACGGAACCGCCGCACCGTAGCCCATTACTTGGTCGAACGAGTTCACTACCATTTGCATTTGTTCGCAGTAGTGGTTGTACCGTCGGTCCACCTGCATTTAATTCTTATTTTTTTAGAATGACATGAAAATCGAATATAGTTTTTGTTTTGTTATCATTAGCTTTTCGTTAAATAAAATACAAACCTCAAGAGATTATAACGTTTAGATAAGATCATACTAAATCGAGCAAATCTCGTTAAAATAGACAAATTAGGGAATACGTACAAATCCATTATGTTTTGTTTTCCTACTAGTAATTTATGGCAACTTAACATAAATTAACTAAAGATAAAATCTTGAAATAAGATAGTGTCAACTACAAAATAAAATAATGAAGTGACTTCAATGACTAGCTTTGGCTACGTAGTGAAGGTAGCTTATATGGAGAAGGAAACTCTAATTTAAATTTCTTGTTGAAGACTGAATCACTTAACTAATCACAATTTAATTTATTATGTTAATATATGATTAAGCGATGCCACCAAACGCGTCACACAAAATATGATTTTATATATCAAATTAGACTATAACATGAGTATAATGATATTAGTTAGAAAAATTATATAAGTGATGGTAGGATTGCGTAATCAAGCTCTACCAACTAGAGCATGTGTCGTGCTCTTGTACCAGTCGGTCTTTCTCTATACATTTAATTTACAGAAAAATACATATCCCGAGCTTATGAAAATATTGGTTGATTTGAAATAACAACGAAGAAAGATCTAAGTGATTGATATGAAATTGGTTGATTGATCAACTCAATCACTAGAGCGGTTCAATTTATGTGATAAAAAAATTCATGGGAAATTAGTTCATTAATATAGTGTGAAAACGTTACCTCTTCAAGCATAGAGAGTAGCTTGACTTTTCTTCTTTGATGTTCAATTCGATCAGCCGGAGATAAAGGAGGATTATCATTGGCTGCTCCGGCAGACAAAGATGACCCTCCACCACCACCTCCGCCGCCTCCTCCTCCACCGCCACAACCACTAGTATTAGGGTTTGAATTGTTCCTACTAAGTTTGTTCTTCTTGAAATGTCCTCTTCCAACACTACAAAACTCTTCCAACAACTCTTGTGCTGGTTTAGTGTACTTGGAATTCCTCAACGTATAGATCCCTCCAATGGAGGAAGAAGCCACCATTGGAGAAGATGATGATGACCCAAAATGTCCAACAACTTGATGTTGATGAGAAGGGTTATCAAGAAGAAGAGTCTTGAGTTGATTAAATTGATGATGATGAGCCGATGCGTTGGAAGAAGAAGAAGTTCCATCGACGGCTGCACAGTAAATGCTTCTATATTCTTCTGCTTTAGCTGCTGCTGCTGCTTCTAATGAAGATGAGAGAGATAAAGATAAACCTTTTCCACCTTCCACGTGTAAGGTACCGATCATCTCTCCTTGACTTTGATGATCGGAGGAAGATGGCCATGTGAAGTGATGTTGCTCGTTGGTGAAACCATAATTGCCTTGATGATGATTTGGTAATAACATATGAAGAGTTGAGTTGTTGTTGTTGTGACGGTTTTGTTGCTCTAGCAATTGTTTAGTAGATTGATCAAGAATCTCGCCGGAGCCACCGTTGCCGCCGCCAGGGTAACTAAACATTTCAGATAACATTCCGGCGGTTTCATAAACCGGGATCGGAGCTCCGGAGACGGCGGATTCCTCCACTTCTTCCTGATGGGAAGATGATGATCGGTGGAATCCATTGGAGAAGGAAAAGATTCCTTGGTGATGATGATAATCTTGGGACATAGAATCTGAATTGTTGTCAAGAATCTTGTGATGATGATGAGGAAGAGTTGTAGTTGCTAGACCCATATCAGTTCTTGATTCTTGTTATTCATTATATCTCTCTCCAAAGCTTTTGGATCCTGTAACATACAACACAGAGAGAATCTTATGTAACAAAAAAACAAAAGGAGAAGAAAGAGAGAGGAGTCAACTAGGTATTATACAGTTTTTCTTTCTTCTCCATCTCTTTCTTGTATCTCTTTTAAGGTTTTCACTTTCAGCTTCGGTCATGATCTACAATCTACATATATATTTGGTAGAGAGAGAGAGAGATAAAAAAAAAGAAGAATACCTTGGAGTTGCAGAGAATTAAAGAAAGAGAAGATTAAGCTTTAGCTATCGTTTTCTCTTCCTCTCTCTAGCTTTCTCTTTCTCTGGTAGTGAGAGTTTATTCAGCAAATTCTGGAAACCATCAAAGATTAAAGAAAAACTTATAAAAATCTCTCCCAAAGAGAAAGGAAGAGAGAGAGAGAGATAAAAGAGAAGAGAGAAGAAGAGGTCGCTGTTCTTTCTTCCTCGCCAACCTTTTTAACCCACCAATCTTCTTTATTATTATTTTTATAAAAAAATATATTATTCTTGATTATCATTTTCTATTTGTTTTTAACGAAGTAGTTTTATTTATATAACTTCTTACCTAGGAAAAAAAACCGCAAAGGTTTTTCATATTAATAACGATGAAGAAGAAAGACAAAACTTACATACCTCCGAAAATTACGAAAGTGTCCCTATCAATTTTTCTTATTTCTTTGGTCAACTATATTTGTTTATAAATTCAAAAAAAAATGTATAACTTTTTTATCACGGAAATGTCGGCTGCGATCAACATTTTAAAGGAGTTAATTTGGAAAACTATTTTTTTTTTTAAAAGCAAACTAAATAAATACAAAGATAAGGTGAGTCCAAGGTCATATCTCAATGACCCAAACCACCACCATAAATACTTCCACATATTTTTTTGCTTAAATAATAATATTCTCATTTGAGAAAAATATAATCACTATAATTCCCATAATGCCCATTCAGTTTTATTCTGATTTTACGAGTATAATTTTTGTTAGGGTCAACTATGTTATTTCAAACTAGTTTTTTTTACGTGACAACTTTTTCAATTAGCTACTCATCATACTCTGTTTTAAATGCAAAACTAAAATTCCAATATAACTAGACTTATATATTGTTTACCAAATCTAATAAACTTGGTGATAACCAATGAATAACATATGTTGTAAATACCAAAGTTATTTGAAAATTTGAAAATTTAAATTTAAAAAGAAATATAGTTTATGGTGTTCTCTTTTTTTTTTGAAAAAGATATTAAAAAAAGTATAGTTGTTCAAATTTGTATAAAATCAAATAATTAGTCATTGATAATAGATGTGATGATTTTACAAAATGTACTTGCTTATAAAAATGAATCAATTGTTTTAAGCTTTGAAGATACATACATCAATTCTAGGCTATACACAATTATATGACTATCTCCGAAGCTTAAACCATTCAATCGATTCACTACACTTCACTTCTGGTCCAATGACTAGAAAGCAACAAGAACAAGACGATGGAAGCTGGACTTATCTAGTTTGATCGAACCAGACATTGGTCATGCTCAAACTCTATACAATAAATTATAATAAAAATAAAGGCAAAGTTTAGAGGTCACATATATGATCGAATAACACTTGGGACATGACCATATAACAAGTTTGGTCATGGGTCTAGAGTGGTGTAGAAGCCTTAGTCGGAAATCTTCCGAGTCATAAAAAACTGTATAGATACAAATACAATTAAACACAATTATTTTATGTTTAAACACAATTATTTTATGTTAAAATATAAAATTAACCACCAGCCCCCTAGATATATCCCCTATAATTCAAATTTTTATTTAAAAAAAAAATCGATTTGACGTGCGTATCCATCCCACAAACGGTTAGAGACATCTCGGATATATGCAATGTAGGTTATAAATCCACAATGGGATAAATAATTAATGGAAGGCTCGAAAGCAAAAGGTGTAAAGCCCACTTGTATATATATATCTATGGAGACTTATGTTGGAATCTATCATGTCAGAATCAGATACCAAATTAATAATGTTGTAGCATCCATAATGTGATTTAAACCTTTAATTATATCTAAACTCAAATGGTTCTCAATAATATTAATTTTACGACAGAAAAGAAGTAGTTTCTTTAAAAGTTGGATATTTCCAAAATAAAATCTGATTTAGTTTATTTTTTACCATTTGTGCTCCTTAACATCTACTTCATCCATTGATATTAAATTGTATACAAGAATTGGTACAACAAAATTACAACAGTGTTATGGAAGCTCAATTATAACCACACATAAATACTTACATAATTTATAATTTACCCTTAGGGTAAATGATATAGAAATAATCTGTTATTTACCTTCTTTAAAAGCTTCTTTAAAAGCAATCCCATTCTGATTCTAATGAGATTATCGCTCTTGACGATATAATCTCGTAGAAGACCCTACAAAACCATTTAAAACTGACCACATCTACTCTTGCACCGTTTCATTGCTTTTCCTCTTGCACCAATTATGCTTTACTATATAATATAATTGAAACCATGATCTTTGACAAAAAAATAATTGAAACCATGATCATGTTGAACAATTTATATAAACTTAATACAAAAAATCAATTCATATATTATTCAACCGTGATTTGTAGGCACCTAATTAAGAAGATGGTTAAAATTCCATTGGAATATATCAACTTCTATGATTTTTTTGTTTTTTATATCTGTTTAAAAATCAAAATCAGAAATCTCTCTCAAGCCACCTAAAGTTATATTTTCAATGCTCATGCCCTTCAAATGGCAGAAAATTAAAACAGAAAACGAAGAAAGAAGTTCCATCTAAATTCTCCAAATATACCTTATGATTTTAGTCTTTATATTTTTGTTGCAACTACAAACGGAATTGACAGTTGACAGCCTAACTTCTTCACTCCTACCAGTATCTTTCTCTTTTCGAAAATTATACATATATATATATATACCAATTATTTAAATTTGTGAAAAATAAAATTTGTTTTCCGAAAACTTTAGTTTTTGGTCGGGTGAATCTCTCACGTGAATCCCATCCTCTACTCACACGTATGCACAACCATCTATCACGTGCGGAACCTCCTTTTTCGCGCGTGTGGTGTGTCCTTTATCCTCCTTTACGCATTTAATAAATAAGTAACCCAAAACATGTAATGGATCCTCTTGTTATAATCGATTTAATCTCATCAATGGTGGTTGCAAAACCTTCCAAATATATTTTGAATCTTCATCAACCTCATCATTGCTATTTCTACATTTTACTTTTGCACTCGTGACTTTCGTCCTCACATCTACGATATACGATATATCAAAGTGTGTTACCAGTTGGTGATTTTTATCAGTGCCATGCTTAGGTTAGTTGAGGCTTTAGGCAAATAAAAAAAATGTGACTTTTTTTTTATAAAAAAAAATTAAGAAAAAATTATTTTAAAATATATACAGAATTAGTAATAATAAGTAGTTAAATTATAGAAATTCTAGAGCACATTTTTTGCTTTATCTTATTTTATCTTCGTACATAAACATCCGAAAAATATCAATAGCAATAATATTAGTAGATAGAGTTCTCAAAGAAAGAACTCAACAGTATTTATCAAGTTAAATACTAGTATAAGCTTATTTAACAAAAAATATGTGGCCTTATATTTTTAATTTTTAGCGGCTTTAGGCAAATGCCTATTTTCCACAAGATAAAGCATAATACTGACTTTTACCGAAACAAAACTAAACCCATTTTTTGCAAACAAAAAATTTGGAACGCGAGGTCAAGATGCCTTAAGTAAAAAAAAAAAAAGGCTGGAAAGCCATAAGATAATTTGTTTTTTTATATTTGATTTTTTTTTTAATTATCGAAATCCAGGAAAATCCTCTCCTATCCCTTAAAGTTTGATTTATTTACTTCAAAATCTGGGTTAAATCCATCTCGTGACCCGTTAATCCGAGAATCCGACCCATTCAATTTTTTTTTTGATATTTCAATTTAACTATTCTGAAAACCGTTTTCTTTTCATTTTCCTTAATTTCTTTCGTCATTTTCTTCTCCTTTTTTGAACTTTCTTCAACTTCTCACTCCTTATTTGAATTGGTTACTTTTGATTCAAAGGTCTTCACTTTCTAAACTTCCCTTTTCTTCCCGAAATCGTGCTTTCTCAACTTCCCCTTTCTTCCCTCTTTTGTATTCAGGCAAAAATTGCGAGAATCCCTAAGCCCTATTTGCGAGAATCCCGAATCTCCGGCTCCATATATGGCGAAGGTGAGAAATAAGGGCAAGGAGTATGACAGTACTTCAGCGGCGGAAGTCAAAAACCCGCCGGAAACTCCAGCGGAAGGAAAGCTGGCTGAAACCGATCACAGCCCAGAAAACGAGAACCCCTAAAAACCCGGCAGAAGTAAATCCGACGGAAATCAAAGAACCCAAAAGCGAGAAACCTGATAGTCCGGCGGCGGAAGGAAACCCGACTGAAATCGAAGAAAATCCAAACGGCTCCGAGAACCCTCCTGAAATCGAGAACGCCAAACCGAGCACGGCGACGGCAAATGATGATGCCGGTGAGCAGGAAGCAGAGGAGAAGGAAAAGGAGAAGAAAAACGAAGAGGAAGAAGTGCCACTGGAAGTGAACGAAGAGGAAGAGGCGGAAGGAGTGGAAGAGAAGGAGAACGAAGAGGAAGAGATGGAAGGATTAGAAAAGAACCAAGAGGAAGAGGCAGAAGGAGTGGAAGCAGATTTGGAGAACCAAGAGGAAGAGATGGAAGGAGTGGAAGAGAACGAAGAGGAAGATGAGAATGATGCGGCAGACAATGTAAACGAAGACGAAGAAGAAATGCGAGAGGAGAATTTAAGAATGCAAGAGGTATGTTTGTTTAGAATTGCTCGTTTGTTTAAGATATGTTTGGTATGTGGACAACTAGGACAAATAAGTATAAACTTGTCTGTTTGGTCTTAGGACAAGTAGGGACAACTATGTTGTTTAAGCTATGTTTGGTATTTGGACAACTGGGACAACTTAGCTTTTATATAGGATAAGGTATGTGGACAAATGGGACAACAAGTTGAACTAATTTATATAACATTGTGTTACTCGTCTGAATTTCAGGATGCCGATGATGAATTGATGCCAATGGGGCCTCAGAAGCTTTATTTCGGTCCAACCGAATATAGCAAGGCGTTTAAGATAATTACAAGGTGTGTAGTGAAGAGTGTACTTGATGTGATAGGGAACCTGTCAGAAGAGTTGGAGTGGTTCAAATCAAATCCGCAATTCAAGCACCTGTTTCATATGTATAAGGAGCCAAACCACATGAATCAAGGGTTGTGGATGCTTCTTCTTCACACACCCAATACTGAAAAGCAAAACGAGGCGTGGTTTGTGGTAAATGGAGTGCCTATTCGATACTCTTTGAGGGAGCATGCACTGCTATATGGTCTTGACT